AGCAGCTTTCCCGTTAATCAACTTCCTGTTGAGTGACTCAATCTGCCGAACAATCTTTTTGTTCTTCGGTATGTTCAAATAAGATGTTACCGATGCTCATAATAATAAGTACTTTTAGAAATGACATTTAAATGACCTTATCGTTCGACGCGTTTCGTATATTCCCTATACATTTTCAAGAACAAAGGTCAAATTATTTTTAGGTCGCTCGACGAAGTTTGAAATTATATCACAGCGCTCGTGAATGGCTATCATAGGTATTTTTAGTAGCGGGCATTAACATGCATAATATCTAAACTAAATCACGCATCTTAAATGTGATAAAATAAACCAGTAAAACGCCTTTTGGGCGAAGAACGAACGAGCGAGATAGTGAGCCCTGCACGTGCGCAAGGGCGAGAGGGTACTTCCAACGGGCTTGTGCAAAGCACCCTTCTAACCGGTCGCTAGCGGTGTGCCAAATTTGAACGCAATCGGCCCAGCCGTTCCGGAGATCTGGAAGCGGCATTCTGCACGTGCGCACGTGCAAAAGAGGTCCAAACTGACTTCTGCACGGCACCCTACTAACTGGTCCCCAACCGTGTACCAAATTTGAGCGCAATCGGCCCAGCCGTTCTTGAGATCTGGGAGCGCCCCCTGCACGTGCGCACGTGCAGTAGCACCCTAACCGCAACACATGGGAATGCATTGCCTGGTGGGTGCCTACCTGTATGCCAAGTTTCAGCGAAATCGCCCCAGTAATTACCGAGTTATTGAAATGGGAACAAATTTGGCACCTATTCTTTTTGCATTTTGCACGTGCAGTGGGGTCCCTCACATAGATCAAGAATATCCGACCTTTGGTAGAAGGGATGCAGCTACCCTACAAAAATTACCGCAAGACAATCGCCCAAGCGGCTGCTGAGATATGGGCCTCTCAAAATCACTACTTTTGCAAAACAGCTTGAACACCCTTGACTTTTCACGTGGCACGTGCCACGACGGTCACTGAGATGTGTCAAAAGTAGTCAATTACGGGGTAGAAGGAATGGGGCTACCCAGCAAAAAAGACCGCAGGCCAATCGGTCCAGCGGTTGCTAAGATATAAGCCTCTCAAAAGCGTTACAGGCCGGGCCGGGCCGGGCCGGGCCGCTCATACTGAGATTTTTCCGTTATATTGAAAAGATTCACTTCACTCGCTGCGCTCGCTCGCTCGTTAACACACATTTCAAAGTCACGATAATGGAAGACACATAAACTAGAAATGACCTACACACACACTAGAAATGACCCGATTATCATGCCTGACACACGTCTTATGTGGCCAGGCGGCACCCGTCGTATAGCTGTAGAATACCCCGAGCGTTCAGCTGCCGATTTATGGCCGGGTCTCTCTCCTTGATGAGGATGGCCTCGAGGGCGACGAGACGCCGGCGGTCTCGAGCCCTTCCGACGATGGACGTGCTGGCCACGATCTCTTGTCGCGTCAGTCGGGTGTTGTGCTCAGTCTCGGTGTGCTGCTGTGGTCCGCCGCTCTGCAGATGCAGGGTCAGTCGTCGGGACAGAGATGTGGTGGTGAAGCCTATGTAGCCACTTTTCGGTAGAAGCGCGCAGTCTCCTTTGGTGCATTTAAAGTGGTACACAATGCACAATTGTTTTGCTCTGTTTGAGGGATGTCTTGTCGCACGTTGAGTTGTTTTTCATGATCAGGGATGCTGTTGTAGGGCTCCGGTAGGAGATGGTAAGCTTTATCCGGTCCTCTGGGTTAGTCGGCTTGCAGTTTCGTCTGATGATGTTCTTCAGCACAGTTTCTTCAGCGTGGTAGTTGTTGGTCATTTGATTTTGGTAGTAGAGGTTGATGGTGTTGCGTCGCTTGATAGGTGTCTGAGTCGAGCGGAGGTGCTTGTCTAAAGCCGTCTTTATGACCTGGTCGATATTCCTGAGGTCATAGCTGTTGTCCACGAGGATTTGCTTGATCCGTTGTAGTTCTTGGTGAACTAGAGGCAAAGTGGAGCAGTGGGTCAGGGCCCGGTGGACATAGGCCTTGATTACGCTGTCCTTGTAGCGATCAGGGCACTCACTCTTGCCATTCAGGCATCTTCCATCGTTGGTCTCCTTGCGATAGACGCCGGTGGTGAAGTTGGTGTCTCTGGCGTCAATTGACACATCTAGTAAATAATGTTAAAACCGAGCAGCTTACCAGATAAAGTGAGAAAAGGAGGTTAATAAACGTTAAACGTTTTTTTTTATCAAGACAATAGCTTTGACAAAAACGGTCCCAAAACAGCGATTTCATTGTCATTGTGTTTATCACGCTTAGACGCACTGAATGATACACTTTTCCATCAACGGCGTTAAGCTAAATGTTGACGTCAGGTCAAGATAAGGTCAAATTTGGCCCAAGTCAGGGCATGATGTTAAAGAGATCGAGTCACATATCATTCGATTTGGCAGCTCATTACGAGTTCAATGGCGCCTTTCTCGACTCTAACGCAATTTGTACGCGAGTTATTTGTGAAAAACCTAAATGACCTCAAATGACATCACTTGCATCGTATATGACGTCACTCAAGGCTGACGTCATACATTTAGACATGCAATCTTGTAAACAATGTCAGCTCATTACGAGTTCAATGGCGCCTTTCTCGACTCTCTAACGCAATTTGTACGCGAGTTATTTGTGAAAAACCTAAATGACCTCAAATGACATCACTAGCATCGTATATGACGTCACTCAAGGCTGACGTCATACATTTAGACATGCAATCTTGTAAACAATGTATGAGTTCAAGGTTTGAAGAGATTGAGAAAACAAAAGCCTATCTTTGGCAAGGATCAATAGATCATATTTGAGGTTATATTCTCACTATCTTTGATACCAGTGACGCAGGCCTTTCATGACGTCATAAGTGAACATGACCTTAACTTGACCTGGTAATTTTCCTCCTAGATTGTGTGCCAGTATTATCCATTTCGTTTGAGAACTTAGTTTCGTATGTATCCCATATGGTTTCCACGATGCTAGCCTTGGCCAGATTTGAACCGGAATTAACACACAGCGCGCTGACCTACCTGCAGCCGAGGATCGGTCTCGCGTTTGATGCTCTCCATCAGCGGCCGCACCACGGGGTTCAGTTTGTCGGTGAGTCGATTCATCAGCACAAGCGGACGGGCCAGCGCCATCTGGGTCCTGACACACAGCAGGCACTCGGTCACAAAACCGTCTCTGTGGCAGTAAGGCGGCCGGGGCGCTGCCCTAGCGGCCCAATGTTCCGTGATCGGTCTGCTTCCGGTGCGCCAGGGCACACTGACACCGCGCATTTCCCAGCAGCTCATAGGCCCGGGAACAAGCAGGGGGGGGGGGGGCAGAGACGCTGGCATCCCCCCCCCCCCAACTTAAGAGCCGAGGCCCCCACCCAACATTGATGCAGTGAGGGAGGATATTCCTCCCTTATCCGAACTCAAACCTTTTTTCTTTATATAATGATACAGGGTGTCCCACAATAGTGTACCACATTTATTTTTAGCATAGCTTAGGAAAGCTTCAGCAGAATTTAGAAAAAGGTACCAAATACTAGCTCACTACGAATTTATTGGCAAGTGGTTTCAATATCATAAGTTACCGTGTTATACTCTTAACAGTGCATTTTCCAAAAGTCCACATTTTCAGTGAACGCTCGTGGTTTCGCCCCCCGACTAGCCTCAGTTAGGTACTTTCCGGATGCTCTTGCTGATCACAGACTTTATCACAACCTGAAGGCCAATCTGTGTTCCTAGCTTGACCTGGCCGAAGATCCCGTCCAGGTAGCCTAAGATATGGAAAACGGCAGGGGTTAACCCTCGCCCGTATAGGGGGGGGGGGTCGAACGGACCCCCCCCCCATGGTTTTCCGCGAATAACTCGCGTAAAAAGCGGCCGAGCGCGACGAAACTTTCAGTACCCTCGCGTTATTCAATTTTACACCTACCCTGAAAATTTTATGACCCTGACCCAAATGACCTTTGCCCTGTGAACTACTTTTCGAGACCATGTTTGGCCAGAATCGCGATTCGGCGTATGTCGCCTCGCATTAGCGGCGCGTTTGCAGTCTTTTCGTGGTTTCAAGCGTTCAAACATGTGATATGGTGTTGCCCCCATGCATTATGGTGGGTGTCAAGGTCACCTGAAGGTCAGGTCAGGTCATTGACCTTTGATGACCTCGGTTCACTTTTTCGAGTTTTACATGTTTCTAGGCCAGTTTTTTTTTAGCTGAATTCCAATTTAGCAACCATATGAACATTTACGAAGTAGTTTTGGTGCCTTCGTAACATGTTACGGAGCTGTCAGAGGCGGTTGACACCTACTAGGAATACCCGGCAGGGCCCCTACTGGTTGACCTGACCTGACCTGACCCGACCTGGACTAAATGCATGACGACATCATCTGTGATCAAAACTAACATGATATTCGTGATCAGCACCCCGAAAAACCTCATAGCAGCCACACTTTACGACGTTCTAACAGGTCCCGATTTTCCCGACTTTTGGGTCATTGACCTGACCTGCAAGGTCAACCAATGACCTAGGACCTTAGAATTGGGTATCATCGGCTCCCTCTCGTCACGGGCAACACGCTCGTTTTTTCCGCGAAGCTCTAGCTCGATCAGGGGCGAAACGGCAAGGGGGGTCCAACGGACCCCCCCCCCCCCCTTATACGTTCGCGGCTGGAAAAACACCAATACGGGCGAGGGTTAAGTTAGTGGAGTATGGCCTTTGCTCGCGCGTGAAGATAACGGGTGGTTTCCAACGGGCCTATGATTGTAAACTTGCGTCACCTAACGCTTTATGAGCTGCCAATGCGTTTCATAATGAGGAGGTTTATAATTTTGGTTCTCTTTGAGCGGTTGGTGTCCTGCTAATAGATTGCCGTGTCCTCAGTGTCGTAGCGCCTAACGTTGAACTTCGGCCGCCGCCTGCCCGTCTATTGTCTGCCTCGGGACACCAACTGAACGCGTTGGGGACATGTTCACTGAATGTTGGGGATATGGGTATGGAGACACCAGTTGACACAGCAAATTTCACTGTGTTGCATAATTTGTTGCATAATGTATAATTGGCTGGGATTTGTTGTCCAAGCACAACTTTTTGTTAAATTGTTCACCAAGTGAGAGCGGCTCAAGGATGCCGTTTCTGTTCCACCCTTCCGTTTCTGAATCTCCTGACCTTGAAAGGTAGGAGGTTCAAACGTGCACACCATGTCCCAAAGCCTAGAAAAGGATATAACGGTAGAAGAACTGGGAGTAACATTACGTCAGTTTAGTAATAACAAAAGCCCAGGTTCTGATGGATTCCCGTACGATTTTTATAAAGTTTTTTGGTGTGACATGAAACACTTTGTATATAGGTCCTTGCTTTTCGGATTGGAGAGAGGCGAGTTATCAATAACCCAAAGAGAAGGGTTGATAACTCTGGTACCTAAACCGTCTAAACCGAGGAACCAGATATCAAGCTGGAGACCTATCACCCTTCTAAATTCTACGTATAAGATACTTGCAGGAACTATTGCAAATAGACTAAGACGGTGTTGAGTTCGATTATACATGCGGATCAAACAGCTTTCATGAAAAATAGATTTATCGGGGAAAATATCCGTGCAACTTACGATGTTATATGGGAAACATATCACAGCAAAATCGAGGGACTACTTCTTTCAATTGACTTCAAAACTGCTTTTGATGTGATGAATTGGAAATTTTTGGGAAAATGTCTGAAAATGTTCAATTTCGGTGAAAAGTTCATCAAAATGTTCTGGTGCTTGCATAGACGAATTTTCTCGCGTATAGCCTATAACGGACATTTATCAGAGCAGATCATAAATTTAAACAGGGGATGTAGACAAGGGGACCCAATATCATGCTACTTTTTCATTATTGGTGCTGAAATCCTCGCAAATAAGGTGCGTCAAAATGAACACATCAGATGCATAACAATTAATGAGTCGACTATTAAATTTATTCAATATAAAGTCATGCCAAAGTTCGCGGCGCATAGCGCCGCGGTTTACGCGCTATACACGAAAAACCTCAGGGGGGCGGATACCCCCCCCCCCCCGTCGGGTTAAGAACCACAAATCCTACATTATTCACATCAACATTTTTCTATAGAACTTATATTATCTACTTTCATCTAACTAGCTAGGGCTTTTTTACATCCCTGCCCTGCCCTGCCCTCAGAGCCACCAGTGTTGGGCCGTCAGGGTTGCTGGTGTGGGTCTGTGGGGCCCTCAGAACCGCCGAATGTGCCTGAAGAGGAACTAATGTAGGCCCTCAGAAAACTTGGTGTGGGGCCCCTAGAGCTGGCCGGTAAGAAGCAGGCAAGGGGCCCTCAGAGGCCGGTAAGCGACCTTCGGAGACAGGCAACGGGCCCTCAGAGGCCGCCAAGGGATCCTCAGAAGCCGGCGTGAGGCCCTTATGGAGATGTTAATGTGGCTACGTAGGGGCCCATAAGGTGCTCTGACCAGCCCTATGGAAGCTTTCTCAGTCGAACTGTGGCCAGCGTGGACCCTCAGTGGTCAACTGGCGCCGCAGGGCCCCCCAGACCGGAGGGGCCCATGAAACCGATGGGGGCACGCGCCCCCTAGCCCCCTGGCTATGCCACTGCTTCATATGCACTATATCAGGTATTTAAGGCTCGCAGTCCCCACCCCCTTCACTAGAAAATCATCCCCGGGCCAATGGAGCAGCTCATTCTAACAAAATCAAATGGTGCATTAGTCGCCAATGGGTACAGGTGGGGTCTCCACCTGGTTTGCTATGTTCAGCTGCTGAGACGGTGTTGTTTGAGCGAGACTGACCTGGTGGCCCAGCAAGTCTGCTCGTCGCCCACCAGGTGGCTGGCTGTGCGGACCGACTGCTGGCGGAGCTGCAGTGTCTCGGTGACCTGAGCCGAGAGGCTGTCCTGGACGCCAGCGAGCAGCTCGGCAGACACCGGGCCGCTCAACTGGCGGATTTGCTCGAAACTCAGCACACGTGCAGTCTGCCAAGCGCAGGGGCACACGTTAGACCTTGGAGCCACGGTTCTCGATGCACACGTCAGCGACGCGGTCGGATATCGATTAATGTCACTGTTGGTGGGAAACACCTCGAATGGTACAGGGACCCCCAGTTGCTTCTGTACACACTAGTATTTCAGCGTATTCTTGGCATGTGACACAGTTAAAGGCGATTTGGGAAATTATTGTAAGCTCATTGAAATTGCCGTTCGGAAGGCTTTAACTTGATATGATGGTCTCTTAACCCGCGCGGGGCTGGGGTCTCCAGCAGAACGCGCGGAGCTGGGGTCTCCAGCCGAACGCGCGGGGCTGGGGTCTCCAGCCGAACGCGCGGGGCTGGGGAGGGGTAAATTTTACCCCCTGTTATCTCCCGAACTAATGGTCCGATTTGGAAAATTCAAACGCCAATCGAAAGATCTCATCACGAACAACTAAAAACATGTACTTAAATTAAAGTTTGAGGTCAAGGTCAAGGTCAGGTCAAGGGTACAAATCGCAAGTTTCCACAGTATCGGCCTTGCACCGTAGTTGCCGAAGAATGGAGTCATGGACTGAGACTGATTGCCCAAAACGTGTTCTTAGGCTACCAAGACAATATTCCTTGCATACAATATCATTCAGAGGTCAAGGTCAAGGTCAAGTCAGGTCAGGTCAGGTCAGGTCACCAAAAACAAAATGTAGAAAAGGGCATGTGCGACACATGTTTTATGGGTCATTTTATCCATAGAATTCAATAGGCACACTCAATAGGTGATATGGACCACATCTGGATGAATTTCAGGTCGAGGTCAGGTCAAGGTCAGGTCAAGTGAGGTCAAATTTTGAAGTTGGTTGTTAAGGCCTACAAAGATGTCCATCTGATGCAATTTTTCACGGCGAATCGAATGGTGCTATTTTTGATACCGTACGAGGTCTAGAACTTCCAAAAAAATCATTTTTTCAAAAAATTTGTTTGTCGTGACGTCATAAAATTTTGAATAACTCCCACATTTTTGAACCAATTCTTCTAAAAATTGGTATGTAGGTGCACATGGACCACTTCTCTGACATATATTCCGGTTTTTTCGATACACGCAAAATTTTGGATTTTATAATTATTTTCCCAAAAAAGTCAGTTTTTTAAAAAATTGTGCTAAAATCAAAATTTTTCAAAAAACCGAGATAGCCCTTTGATAGACAAAGAGAAATCACGTATAACTTTTTTTTTGTTACGTCTTGATTCCCTTAAAAATGAAGATGTTAGCGGCGTTTGAATTTTTACCGTTTTTGAGGCGAAAATGGCGAACATGACGTCACTAAAACGTCATTTTCTCAAAACATTTCCGAAGGATTTCACTCAAATTTTCAGGGAACATGTCAAATTGATGTAAAAAAAGGTACTGAAAGTTTGGGAACGCTGTGCGCCGCCGTTTTTGAGACATTGCAAAAATTCGCAAGGGGGGTAAAATTTACCCCCCAGCCCCGCGCGGGTTAACCCGCGCCCCATTGGCGTCTGCGTATAACACGCTCTACTGGGGGGGGGGGGGCTCTTCATAGCCCCCCTCCCGACTCCGAAACTACTGGGCCGATCGTCAACATTAAAACGGCGTCTGATAGCCCCGGAAAAAAACTGTCGAACGAAGCCTCATTTCATTGACCTCGAGGTCACCGATGACGTCACAGGTCAGGTCAAAGTAAAAAATATTAGCATTTTGGCTTGTTAACATTTTGGGCTCTGGCCGCCGGCTTACAAGTCAGATCAGGCTCATTTTTGGTTTACACACTCGTCGACTCGGAGGGTGCTTCTCCTAATTTCTAGTAACAATTAGTTCCAAATAATGTTGAACTCAATGGGCAGTGCAAATTGCAGTTTCAAATAAGTCCCAAATGATACCAAATGCATAGCCGCGCGTGTTAACATTTGGAACTATTCGGGCCGCATTTGGGACTCATTGGTACTCGATTGGGACTGCCAGTGCCGGCCAGCGGCGGATCCAGCAGGCGGCGGGGGAAGCTGATTGGTTGTCTTAATCGGCTCAGGCCCGGGTGATCTACGCCCGGGTGGCCTACGCCCGGCTGACCTACGCCCGAATTGCCTACTCCATCGAATGTCTACGCCCGGGTGACCTACGCCCGGCTGACCTACGCCCGAATCGCCTACTCCATCGAATGTCTACGCCCGGGTGACCTACGCCCGGCTGACCTACGCCCGAATCGCCTACTCCATCGAATGTCTACGCCCGGGTGACCTACGCCCGGCTAACCTACGCCCGAATCGCCTACTCCATCGAATGTCTACGCCCGGCTGACCTACGCCCGGCTGACCTACGCCCGAATCGCCTACTTCATCGAATGTCTACGCCCGGCTGACCTACGCCCGGCTGACCTACGCCCGAATCGCCTACTCCATCGAATGTCTACGCCCGGCTGACCTACGCCCGGCTGACCTACGCCCGAATCGCCTACTCCATCGAATGTCTACGCCCGGCTGACCTACGCCCGAATCGCCTACTCCATCGAATGTCTACTGCTCCCCTCCTGTCCGATTAACGAGTGAAGATTTCGCATACCAAAGTGACCCTTCCGGGGGAACCGGCACCCGCAGTCAGGTAACAATGGGAAGGGTCGGAGGTACCGACCGCCGCGCCGCATGGTGACAGGTGATTCCCGGGACGTCCGAGCGTCGCCTTTCAGACGCATCGCCGCCTTCCCCCCCCCCGCCGCGCCGTGCCGCGCCGCACAAAGTAGACGGACCCTGCCGCGGAGCGAACTACCCGACCAGGCTGTCATCATCGGCGGAGAGCCTGAACTGCTTTTTTAATCGTTGAGCTGATCGAGCTTGAGTAGCCATGCTTGCGTATTTCACGCTTCAGCCCTGCTGTGAGCCATGTTTTATGATTTCTCATTTCAGATCTTAACAATGATCTTAGGTAGGAAGAACCGTGAGAAACGCCCCTCCCCCTTAGCCCTCGCCGGTATAGGTGGGGGGGGGGGGGGGTCGAACAGCCCCCTCTCGGTTTTCGCAAATAACTCGCGTAAAAACCCGCTGATCGCGACGGAACTTTCATTACCCTCGCGTTCATCAATTTTACACCTACCCTAACAATTTCATGACCCTGACGCAAATGACCTTTGACCTGTGACCTACTTTTCGAGACCATGTTTGGCCGGAATCGCGATTCGGCGTATGTCGTCTCCTCTTAGCCGCGCGTTTGCACTCTTTTCGTGGTTTCAAGGGTTCAAACATGTGATATGATATTGCTCCTATGCGTTAGGGTGGGTGTCAAGTTCACTTGAAGCTCAGGACAGGTCACTGACCTTAAATGAGCTCGGTTTACTTTTACATGTTTCTAGGCTAGTTTTTTTTAGCTTAATTCGAATTTAGCAACCATATGAGCATTTACGAAGTAGTTTTGGTGCCATTGTAACATGTTACGAAGCTGTCAGAGGCGGTTGACACCTACTACGAATACCCGGCAAAACCACTACTGGTTGACCTGAACTGACCTGACCCGACCTGGCCTAAAAGCATGAAGACATCATCTGTGATAAAAACTAACATGATATTCGTGATCAGAACCCCGAATAACCCCGTAGCAGCCACACTTTACGACCTAACTGGTCTCGATTTTCCCGACTTTTGGGCCATTGACCTGGCTTGGAAGGTCAACCAATGACCTAGGACCTTAAAATTGGGTATCATCGGCTTCCTCTTGTCACGGGAAACACGCTCGTTGTTTCGCGAAGCTCTAGCTCGATCAGGGGTGAGACGGCAAGGGGGTCCAACGGACTTCCCCCGCCCTTATACGTTTGCGGCTGTCAAAACACCAATACTGGCGAGGGGAAGTGTGTCACCGCTAGACTAGTTATTTGACCATGTACTATTAGGTATTTATCTATATTTATTTATTTACGATCTCAAGCCTCCACGTGGTAGGTTTTAAAGCTTACGTCATTGCACAGTATGTCTTAAAAGTACCGCGCAAAGCAACAGTGGATCCATCAAGCCTGACCGAGGAAGGACTGCTAGTCACCGAAACAATGGATATCCTCGTCCATTCCCCAGGTCAATTGGTTCGGTGACTTTCAAATTATAGCAGGCCCTTCCTCGGTCAGGGTTGATGGATCCACCGTCACTTTGCGCGGTACTTTTAACCCTCGCCCTGGCAGGGCATTTGGCTCCTATGGCACCTAGAAACACCAAATTTGGTAGGTAGGTGGGCTCCTTGGAGTTCTCACCCCTGTGCAAATTTGGTTGCTCTAGGTCAATATTTAGGGAGTTTTTGGGGGATATAAATGTAAAAATTTCGCTAAATTAGGTCAAATGTTTTTCGCTTATAACTTTTGATCTAAGATAGAGCAAAAAGAAAAGCAGACTGTACATACATTGGAGTGTTATGCATACATACATAGGTACAAACCATGGTCACAAGTTCATCGGTGCAAAACTCACAGCCTATATAACGCACTATGCCATATACTATTTTAAAGACCTTATCTTTCAACCATTAAACAAAATAATGCATAAAGCACTGGTATGCTGCATTCGAGCGTGAATGAGCTTTTCCAAGACATTTCGAAACGGGGTGTTTTATATTACGGGTATGGTAAGACGCTATACTTTGGTTGTCACCTGATTATGAGTTTCGTTTGCATAGAAAATGCATTTAATGTTCCGTTTTCGTATGAGTGTCAGTAACGTGGCCTTCGGACAATAGGTTTAGACGAAGAACCGTTTCAAAAACCAACAATACTTAACCCTATTAGTGGCAGGCTCCTGGCTACCCCCTATTAGTGGCAGGGGGGGCTGTTTACGACCCCCCTTGATATCTCGAGATCTAACGAGCCGATTTTCAAAATTCAAACGGCATTCGATTTCGCTCGACGAGATCTACATTTCTAAAAAAAAAAAATGTCAATAGGCGGGTAGAGGGGGGTAAAAACGGGCAAATTGCAGATACCTTTTAGACTGCTTATCACGGCCAGGTTTCTGAACCAATCTTAA